AGCCAATTTTCAGTCCCGTGGGGAGTGTGGTCTTTTAAGTTGTGTGTTGTGTGTTTTTTAAAAAAGTGCTTGATGTCTGCCACATACAGCTTCTACTTTGTGAAAATTTTTAATGATTGCGCTTAAACATCGAACTTCCATTATAAGAGGCATTTTTTTAGCTTCCTTGGCTGCTTCGTCCGCTAGTTCATTGCCAACTATGTATATCGATCCATAGGATCCTTATGCGCGAATTGAGTGTGACTCCGTCTAGAAGGAATCTTCGTGATTCACCGTCGTGTTGTAGTGATTTCACCACGCTAAGCCTATACGAGCAAATAAGTGCATGTTTCTTTTTGCTCGATGCATGACGAACCGCAAATTTTATAGCTGCCAAATCTGCATTGAAAATGCCGGCGTGAAGTGATAAAAGAGATTGCCGAACTTTCATATAGGAGGATTCGTTAGCTTGTTGTTCTATGACCGCATAAACTGCTGTACCATTTAGGAAAGACCACCCATCCGTACAGTAGGTGGTCTCAACTGGTATTTTGCTTTTATACTCCAAACAAATTTTTTTGAATAAATCAGGACACGTATTGTTTTTATCATGTGAACTAATCGTAGTATCCATGATACAAATATTTAAAGGTAAAACCGCTCGCTCAATTTGTCGGCCATCATTTATTTTTTGAAGTTTGTCTACTTTATAAAATTGAAATTTTCAAAGCAACGCAAACGCCAAGGCGAATTAATATAAGGTGATAGCAGGAGTACAAAAACAAAAATTTACATGTATTTTGTTTTTGCTTTGGCGGCATAAACTGTCAAAATCTGTAAGAGTGTGTGTAGAAATTCAAACAAAATTTTTCAATTTGATATCAGAAGCCGTGCGGCGAAACACATACACAAAATCAGCTGAGCTAGTAACACCACCTTATATAAATTCGCCTTAATAAATAAATAAATAAATAAATAACCTGGAACAGGTATACAATTTTGTGGACCTTGGTATCACAATGGATCCTAAGCTTAAAATTTTAATCTTCATATTAATGTGACAGTCAACAAGGCTAAAGGTGTACTTGCATTTGTGAAATGATGGTCAAAAGAATTTTGTGACCCTTATATCACTAAAACCCTGTTTACAACATTAGTTAGGCCAATTCTGGAATACGGTTAGGTGGTTTGGAATCCAAGGTATCAAATTTACTCAGACAAGATAGAATCAATTCAAAAACAATTCCTACTTTTTGCTTTAAGAAATTTCCGTTGGGATTCTCAATATAACCTTCCACCTTAATACGAGCCGATTAAAACTTATTAATCTTCCTACACTTCCCAGCCGCAGGCAAATGCTTGGTACAATATTTATAGTTAAATTACTGACAGGCTCAATTTCAAGTCCGCTTCTTCTGGGCGAAGTTAGCCTTAATGTTCCCTCCCGGGTATCAAGACACTTTTGTCCCCTATTTTTGAAAGCTTGTAAAACTAATTTTGAATTGCACTACCCACTCCGTTGCTTATGCCAGGATTTTAACTCTCATTCCAGCACGATTGATATATCAGATCCGGTTTTCAGCATTAAGAAATCGATACTGTCCTCTCTCAATAAATGAATCATTAAAATTAAGATATAAAATCGGCTGATGAATTTAGTTCTGTAGCTGAAAACAGTTTTAGATCTCGACACTTAACAAACTCCTGCCTATCGTGAATCGGCGCAAAAATTGAAAATACTGGTTTCCGTACGTCATGCGGACTGGAATGGAGGGTAAAAACCGTTGGGATTACTATTATTGTCTAGTGTTGTGGGCTTTGTTTGTCATTGGGTATCTCAGAAACTCAAATAATAAAAGTAATTGTGTTTAATTGTTTTAAGCCTGACACAAATTTTTGACACTGGTCTATAGAGATATTTTTCGGTATAGACAAGGGTCACATTTATGTGATATTTAGGGTTTTATCTAATTCAGTTTTATTCAAAAGTACAAAGCTTACATAAAATTAAGACTATTTATATATTATATTATGTTCAAACAAACCGAAATATATGTATTTATTTCACTATGAAGCTAAAATTTTCCCTCTTAAAGTCGGTAAAGACTTTCCCACGTGCACTGTAAAAAAATGTAACCTCATACTTTGCAGGTAGCTGTAATTCCGAGACCACTTGTCGCAAACGTGTGCCAGACCTTCCTATAAACCATACTGTATCCAACAACCCGCTATTGCAGACGGCGGTGAATGGAGGTATAATTTAATTAAGTTAGACCGGCGTCGTCACGCATTTGTGTCGACGGTCCCACGTGAAAACCCAGCTGACACATATGTACATATATGTGACGCCTGGTAGCGAACGTGTTAAAATAAAACCGCCGTTCGGAGTCGACGTAAAACTGTATTCTCTCCCTTTATGTGAAAATATCAATGCGCACGCCACAAATCGGAGGCGAAGCTCGGCCTAACACTTAACATATTGTGTAAGCGCTAATTTATTATTATTATTGTTATGTACATCTGTATGATAAGTATAACAGAACGTAAGTCTTCTGCAACTGATTTACGCAGTGACATGGTAATTCAAGTTTTTGGATAGACGCGTCACTGGTGCAATAACAACTATTTTCGTTTATGTGCATACATGCATACATGTTCACTTCATACTTGCATACATATTTACATATTTACATACAAATGTGCACATGTATATTTTTCAGTATGTATTTGAAAAGGCCAAGTTCCTTTGTTATCAGCCAGGCTGGCTATTTGGCTTTTGTTTATTGTTATTGTTGTTTATTTGCATTCAACTGTTTCCGTTTTAAATAGGCGCCTAAATAATTGTTGCATAGCCGGCTGTGTCATTTGTTTTTGTCATTTTTGTTCAACTGACTTACCACGTGCAATTAAATACTAACAATTATTCTTCTTACATGCAAATGGACAATGCAAAGCCCGCGTCGAAGAAGACAAACACACAATAAAATAGCAAAGGAGGTAAATTTTGGCTCGTTGTTGGTCCGCGGAAATAAAGGCATCCAACCAACCGACTGTGCAATATTAGGGAAAACAAAAGAATCATAATCATCGGTTCATCATCTGCCAACATGTATGTATGTATGTATGTAGCTGTGTTAACACGCCTACATACATATGCGCATACAGTTGTCCACAAAATAAAAGTAGTGCGATATTTTGACCAGTTTGGGCTGTTTGTTCATTTAATGTTTATTATTTGTTTTTTTTTGTTTTATAAAAGTCGAGCTGGTTATACCTTATCAATTCACATTTAAAACTTTGTATTAGAATAATAAAAATACATATTGCAAATTTTCAAACTTTGTAATCGGTTTTGGTAGGCAGTTTTGTAGCCCATTAAATTGTAGTGTAATAAAGTGCTAGGAATTTATGTAGTCTCAGAAGAAGATTTGCAGAATTTTTATACAAAGTTTGAAATGTGAATTGATATGGTGTTTGTTGTATAACCAGCTAGACAAACAGCCCAAACTAGTTAAAATATCGTACTTCTATCATTTTGTGGATAACTGTACATCTTTATGTACTTATGTATGTACTTAGATATGAATGGCTGTATATTAATACCTATGAATGCTTTTTTACATTTAAATTATATTAAAACGGTATTAAATATTACATATTCATTGCTTATGTTTTAACTGACCTGTTGCTTCACTGGGATTATGCGAAGCAATGCGATATACATACGGTGACCATCCGTTCTGTTTTTTGCAGGACCGTACTGTTTTTCGAACGTCGGTCCTGCGTAGTTTTTCAAACCTGAAAAACCTGAAAATGTACAGATTTTTTCCAGGTGTCCTGCATTTGTCCCGCATTTTAATCGTTATTTTAAAATTATCGTACAATGGATGGATTTTCTCAAAAAAGTGTTTTTTGGTCCTTCTCGTCGCTTTTCTTCAATATCTCATGAAAAAATCTCCCAATCAACGTAAGCGACTTACAGCTCGAAAGGTATTAATATGCCTCCTACCAAAATATATAACTTGTGGCGACTTCAATGAAAATTATAATTATTAGGGCTACAGGCGACCATTTGCATTTTGTCATCAAAGTCGAAAAAAGTGAGATTTTCAATCAAATATGCAGTTTTATTCGATAATTTTTTTCATTAGTTTAAAAATTCGATAAAGAAGATATATCATTACAGCAAATTTTAATCCAAAGATAATGAAAATCGGATTAGAAATGCAGATGCTATGCAGCGCAATCTGCACAATTTATATATTTTTGTAAAGGGCACATAAATACCTTTGTAACTCGTCGTTTACGTCGATTCATGACGTCGATTTTTGATAAATAACTGCGAAAAGTACCAAAAAACGAAAAAAAGGGTATTGTTTTCATTTTGAACGACTCAAAATTTGCCTATAAAATAATCTTTTAAAGATTTTCACTTTTCGTGTAAGCTTTTGTTATTATAATATGTTTTACTATACTTTTATAAATATTCATGTAAAAAAAAGATTAATATCGATGAAGAAAACGTGATTCAAAGCTTAAAATGTATTAAGAATTTTGAATCATAAATACTCTTTTGATATTTTTATACTACGTAAATATATGTAGGCATATTTTTGAAAAATTGTCCTTCATTTTGAATCCATATTTATGGTCACCGTAGATTTACACCTATCGTCGTTTGAAGTACAAAACCGCGTATCGTTATTCTGCATAACCGCGTAACTGACATTTGCTGCCAAAAATTAGATTTGCTCACACAAGCTCTTGGATAAATCCTTATCTATTCGTCCTGAAATATACTAGCCAGAAATGCGATTGCTTTATAAGAACCATTTTGAAATATGAGTGATTTGCCCGGGTACCCGGGTAATATACATATCGTCGTCTCAGAAAACGGATGTCGAATGTTACAAAACACGGT